TCCCAGCTATTTCTTTGATTTGGGTTCAGTATGAGTCATTTAGGGATGCGGTGGCTCAGTGGCTAAGACACTGAGCTTATTGATCAGAAAGTTCGGCAGTTCGGCGGTTCAAATCCCTAGCATTGCGTAACGGAGTGAGCTCACATTACTTGTCCCAGCTTCTGCCAACCTAGCAGTTCAAAAGCACGTAAAAATGCAAGTAGAAAAATAGGAACCACCTTTGGTGGAAAGGAAACAGCGCTCCATGCGCCTTTGGCATTTAATCATGCCGACCACATGTCTTCGAACCGCACTGGCTCTTCAGCTTTGAAACAGAGATGAGCAACGTCCACTAGAGTGAGGAAGAACTAGCAAATATGTGTGTGGGGGACCTTTACCTTTATCTTGTGACTCATTTAAAATGTGTGATTATTTCAGAAGAATTGGAATATCCCTTTGAATTAGCTGAGACAAAGTCCCTGGTCTGCACAATGTTTGAAAATTTGTTTCCCACGCTTAAAAAATAGTTAAGTTTTAGAAAGCTTAAAAATCAATTTTTCTTCCAGGCATACAGGTTTTCCACATATAGTATTTTTTTATTATTATTATTTTGGGAAAGCTGAACCTTTTCACTGATCCTTTAAAAGGCCAGCTCTAGGAACTTGGTTCCATTTGAGTTTTTTGCATCTATGGAAGAGTTTCCTGTTTCTGGAATCTGTATCTGTTTAAATACACATTTTTTAAAAAAATAAATAAATAGGGAATTCCAGATTTTGAGAACAGTTGAGTTTGCCTGACTCAGTGATGAATGCACCATTGGATAAACTGAAAGACCAGTTTAGAGACTGATCACCCTGGAGAAAATCTACCTATCCTGTCTGGTTGCTAGGAGTTGAACATGTTTCTATGACACAGAATCAGTGAAATTTCCCAGGGTCAACTTAGTGATGTGTATTTTTCTGGGTTTGTTCGCCATACAATGCCCAGAATCACATGGTAGTGAGATGGGTGGCATACAAATTTAATATTTTTTTTTTACAAAAGCAAATACAGAATCATAAAGCAATTGTGCAGTCTAGATTGGCTCAAGAAGCTAAATTAGATCGTCTGTGGTCACAGGAGCACAGCATAGCAAATGATAGATTGCTTTTAAAGAACAAAATCAAAGAAGCAAATAGATCAGAGACCGTAGGTTAAGAGATGGCATAAAGGAGCCTGAGCCATTTTTTTTAAACTAAATAATTCTTTAGATATGGGCTTCCAAATATTTTTCTTTCTTTCTTTTTTCCTTCGCTTAGGTGGTGAGTCTACAGTCAATTCCATGGCGATGCGGATTGTAATGGGGAGTTGGTGGCTCTTCACTCTTATTGTATGTTCATCTTATACGGCAAACCTAGCGGCATTTCTTACTGTCAATAGGATGGACAATCCAATTCGGTAAGAGTCTTTTCCCATTCTATTATCCAAAGTCTGCATTGTAAAGAGAAGAGTGTGCAACAGGAGGCAACATGCTTAACAAGCTTCTGGGGTAGCATATTGGAGTAACAGAGAGGAATTACAGAGATGCTTCCTATTTAATCAAGAAGCCCCATCCATCTCCCGTCTGTAATCTAGAGCAGGGTTGCCAGAGCTGCATTCTAACATTATTTTGAATCTGCTATATGAATCCTAGCCAAATGGAAGGATGCAATTAATTGAAGGCTGTTCATTTGTGCACTTGAGAGGCCCATCCGCCATATGGCTGTCATTGTACAGTCTTGTTATGAAAACAAAAATACAGTGCTCAACATCTGGCCTTAATGTTTGCGGCATGTATTTGGAAAACCTCCGTTTGGCCTGTCGTTTCGCATAAATTACCTGCACATTATTTCACACATGTAAGGAACTTGCTGCCATGGGATGAGAGTTTGCTTGGGCTGCACAGAGCAGATGTATTGGGGTTACTAAAAGGAGAGGGAGAGAGAGAGAGAAAGAGAAGGAGGAGGAGGAGGAAGGGGAAGGGGGGAAGGAATGAAGGAAGGAAAGAAAGAAAGAAAAAGAAAGAGAAAGAAGGAAGGAAGGAAGGAAGGAAGGAAGGAAGGAAGGAAGGAAGGAAGGAAGAGGTGGTTTGCTGTGGTAGGCTAGAAAAATGATGCTTTCCACAGTTGTTCTCTTGGGCTGCAATGATTACAAATTCTACTGGGAGGCAGGTTTTGTGCTTCTCAAACCCTTTTAGTTAACACTGATACATTTACATAGGGAAAAGCCAGCTCATCATTTAGTAGGGGAAAATAATATTTTTCTACTCTTTGCACGCCACATGAAATATTATTGTTATTTATTTATTTATTTATCAAACGTCTACCCCAACACAACGAAGTGACTCTCAGTGGCTTACACAGAATGAAGAAAAGTTAAACCTTCTGATTGAGACCAGTTCTATTCAAAATTGCAGTTAAAATATAAGCTTTGGAGAAGGACCACTAAAGTAACATAAACACATAGGATAAGAATATAAAGATAATGTTTTTTTTTCAAAGGTAGAAAGATTGCATCATCTTAAGCATCATTCATATATATATATATATGCTTAAAAAAACTTACATCCCAAATAGTTTGATCTTCAGCATTTTCCTTCAACAAAGTATATTGAGTATATTGAGCAAGTCACTATTTTGTTCTTAAAGGTCTTCCAAAGTGCTGACCACAGTTATTCTGCTGTTTCCTGGTATTGTTGTGTCCATTATTCAGACAGTATTTTGGTTGGTTACTTTTAGACTAGTTTTAGTATTTTTGTCCACCTAACAAGTCCTTTCTAAGGATCCAGTGTTTCATCTTTCTCGTTGCATAATTAGTATCACACTGTATAGTGTGATACTAATGCAGTATCAGGGGTTTTCAATTCAATTATATAGAATGTGAAGGATGTGTTTTATTTTTATAGTTTTCCTATGTATAATGTACACTGATGATGGCATTTAATTTCATTGTACGAGGTGCAATGACAATAAAGTAAACTAAATAAGCAACATTTGTTGTTGTTACTGGCATGTTGAATTTTTTGCTTTCATGGAATTGGTTTGCAGGGCTTGTTCTTGGGCAGCCAAAATGAAGCCTTCAGTTTCTTTCTTCAGCACCCCTGATCTCAACCATCTCCATGTTAGCTTTGTATCTGCCTTGTCTTCAATGTCCTTCAAGTATTGACTGTGCATAGGCCTTCTTTGTTTCAGCTCAAAACTCAATGCTCAATTGTTTCCTTTCAATATTCTGCTCTCGTTGATTTCAAGAGGTTTCCCTTGTTCACCTCCTTCAGCAGTGGCTCATTTGGTTTTTTAATGTTGTCATTTAAGCATGGTTTTCCTCTTCCACAGTTTGTTTCTCCTGTAAAAGTCTTCTGCCACACTGAGATCTAGGCAAGTACAATTGATGAGTATTTTGGGGTGCAGAGCATGGTGCGTTGTCATTAGTTTTCTTGATTTTCAATCCAAGTTATCAAGTTCTAGGTCAGCTCTGAGCAATAATTTTCCAACATTTTTGAAACACCATAGATGTATGTGCTCTTAACTGTGGAGAAAGCAAGAGTAAGCAGCAACCCACTGTCTGTCAGATACTTGCCATCGATAATCTTGACTTACAGTTGGATGTGTCTTTGGGACAATGAAAGGGCTTTTCCATCTCATGAAGTAGGTTAGTAAATGTTGCCTTCATTTCATGTCCCTCACAATTTGTGAAAATAGGTGTGCTTTTTCATCATTTCCCCAGAACATGGATGAACTTTGTGGGGCAAGGGGCATCTATGGTCGGCAGGCCTTGTTGCAAATTGGATTGAAGTGTGAAAAGACTATTACAGACAGTTTTGTACGTTCTCAGAAAATACCGGAGGACGCAGCTAGGTCCCAGGGGGAATCCATGGATTGCTGTCCCTGCAGAGGCGGGGGAGGCGGGGAGAGCGGAGGGACAGGAAGAGAAAGAGAGGATGTCGTGCAGGGATTCTTTTTAAGCAGGGAGGAATTGAAGATATATGTGGAACATCATCCTGGCAGTAATAATAAGGTTGCTTCCCCACTCCCCGACATTCTTTAAAAAAAGCATGAAGACATGGTTTTGCCAGCAGGCCAGGGACCGCAGGGCACTACGGAGCCCACCAAGTGGTTAATCTGATTGTTGTCATCAGGGGTATCATTATGGTTTGTCAACCATGAAAGACAGGGAAGGGCTTTTGACTATGCAGGTAGTCCTCACTTAGTGACTTCTTGTTCAGCAACCATTGGAAGTTACAACAGGGCTCAACAAGAAGACTTATGGCCAGTCCTTGAAGTTGTGACTGTCCCAGTGTCCCCACAGTCACAGGATTGTGATTGGGATACTTGCCAAACGACACACAGTTACAACGGTCACAGCTTCCCACAATCACATCATCACCACTTATGATCTTCACTTCCAGCTTCCGATAAGTCAAGTCAATGAGGAAACCAGCTACCACCTGATGTTGTGCTTAACTACTGCACATGATTCCTTGACAACTGAACTATCATTGTACACTGAAGATCGCATTTAATTTCGTTGTACAAGGTGCTATGACAATATAGTAATCTAAAACTAAAACTAAAACTAAACCCACATCACCCATTCTAGCAAGGAATTATCTCTTCCATCTACTTTTGCATTTCCTGTTGCCTTCTTGAATCATCAGATGTTTCTCTGAGCTGAAAAAAAGAGGAGGAGGACATCTGCATCAGAGTCACCCTGAAGCACCTTCTGTCAGATTCAAGAGCTTTGAAAGGAGGGGTTTTTTTCCCTCTAAAATATCTCTGCCCTAAGATTAATGGGACTGACAGAGAGAAAGCCCTCTGCCAATTCTGGTTTCACAGCACAAATATTTTTCAGTTTTCAGAACAGGAGAAAGAAAAATGAAAAGAAAGCTGATATTACCATATTTAGGCTTCCGGAACAACGCAAGTTATCCAGATCTTTGCAACTGGAGTATCATTGTTTTGCAAAACCATCCCAGTTGTTCATTATTTAAATTTCCACCACTGGATTTGTTTACTCAACTAATTTGCTCCTTACCAGCTATCATGCTGCCTAGATGCAACTTCCACACACTTTGACACTGGACATATTATGAGATTTGGCCTGAAATGGACTTTTCAGTTCAATAATGAACCAAATTTTTGCAGGTTCAGTAATTCTCATTTTGGAAAACTCAAAGTTTTGAGTTCTTCCCCTCTGCAAGGTAGAATTTGAACTAAAGAGGGTAAATATTTTCAGAAGGGAAAAGCTAAAGGCATCTTAAGAAGAGAAGGTGGGCTCTCTAAACATACTGAATCCCAACTTTTGGCTAATCAGAGTCATGTGCATTTCTATTATGTCTCAATTTGTTTTCCTTCATAAATATCAGGCAAGTTTCCTGGACTATAATAGGAAGAGGAGAGAGGACTGGAAGATAGCCTCACTTTGATATTATCAATTGCAAAATTTTGGACACGCTCTTCATGAAGGTATATAATAGCTTTGGAGGCCATCCAGGCGCCAGTTTTAGTGGAAATTGTTTTGCCGAACTGCAGAACTGCCCAACTTGGTCAATTAATTGAATGATCATCCAGTTTGAAGATCAGTCAGTCCTGGTAAACTTCTTCTATTGATTGGTTTTCATACTGGTTAATAGTTCCTTATTTATGGCTACCTTATTTGTCTTTTACTTTGTGCATCATACCAGGCTAATGAGGACTCTCGCAAGTTTCCCAGATAAATTCTCTGTTTCTTAGCAGATTTGTACAGCAACACACCAAATTTTATACACGCACACTAGACATTGTGTTACATCCCTATTTGTGTTCTAGATGTCTCTGTGGGATTTTTTTTTAGAGAAACTGCAAGATCAATCTTGCTCTTAAAATTGGAGTGATGATTGTTTGACTCCAATTCCTGCAGAGCACAGCAAATTGTCTTGATTGGTCATCTCCTTTGTTACATATTCTACATAAAATTTGTGATAATGGTTACAACTGTCAAATAATGTGAGACAGGTCAAATAGATGAAAGGAACTAACCAGCAATAGACAAAAATTGACCCAGCTTTTAAAAGCTAGAGTACTGCACACACATCTTTGCCAGTCCAGTTAGTAACAGTTTACTTGCTGAATATAAATCAATTGCATTAGACTTCCTTTTAAAAAAAAATCTGTTATTAATGTTTTAATAAATGAAATTTCTGAAGCTGAGTGATTGAAGAAATGAGAATAAAGAACGCAGAAGACAAATCTGCATACATAATCAAAGTTTTTTTTTTAAAAAAAAATAAGAATATGTGTCAGTTGCCAGATATTTCTCATTTGGACAAAATAGCTTTCATGCTAACTTTGGAATATATTTAATTTACATAAAGTACCTGAAAACTACTTCTGGGACTGAATTTTATTTGAAATCTGGATACAGTTTTTTTTTCTTTAATTACG